GGTTGATGATGATGTTCTAGGTTCGAATGGGTTTAGGGAAGAAAGGGGGAGAAGGATTCGGGTTTTGCAGGAGGTGGGACCCACATTTTTTTCTTGTTTGGTTTTGGGCAGTATGACATTTTTTTTCCCAGGTGTGCGTTTGAAGTGTCACTTTATTGTTGACGTGTCATCGTGCTTTGTTAATCAAGGACACGTCACTAGATTTTAACGGATTTTTAACGGAGGGACTAAATCGGGGTCAAAATGGTAAACAGTAGGGACCAAATCAGGGATTTTTTGAGTTAAGGGACTAAATCGGGGGTCCGTACGATAGTTGAGGGACCAAAATGGGGGTTTAACCTAATTAATATCAACAAATATGGTGGAAGTATGCAAATAAATATTAGCAACAAGGCCTACGTTGCTGAAAACTAGGGGATGTACTATTCCTAAACTTTCAGCAACGTGGCTCTTGTTGCTAAAAATGGAATAGGAAAACCGCTTAAAAAAACCACAATTTCCCTTAAACTTTCAGCAATATAAGCCACGTTGCTGAAATTTTAGTTTTAGCAACGTGGCTTATGTTGCTGAAAAAATTCAAAACATTGGTCGGACTTTCTACTGGAATTTGGTAAAATTGTTAGCAATATGAAGCATGTTGCTGAAACTATATTTTTAGTAATGTGCCTCATGTTGCTGATACATCACCAAAAAGCTCCATGTTGCTAATGTATCACCCACCAAGGCATTTCCAACAAAGGTTTTAGTAACTAGAGGCATGTTGCTGAAAGAGTTTCAGCAACATATGAACCATTTTTAGCAACATGAAAGCATGTTGTTGAAAATAGAAATTTTAGTAGTGAGTTGGTTACTTAATTGATTCTCCCTTTTTTGTTTTTTTAGTATTAACTTTTCGATATCAGATAATTATATTGGGTTCAAATTAATTTAAAATCGAGTCGTGTTGGACCTTGTTAGGGAGGAAGCTCTTCTAGCATTTGTTTTTTCATTTACAAAATTTAAAATCAAAATCTTATTTAAAAAAAATCGAGTTTATTCCATTTGGACCAATTGATAATTAGTACTCACCCTTCTTTGTTAATTAGTTAAAAATTCAACTTGCAAGAAAATACAAAAGGGCCAGTGACCTCAACTTTGACTACTAAATGATGGGACCTAAAGCATTTTCATTTTACTAAAATACATGTTTGTTTATTTTCGGTATTAACATTTTGGTATTCAATACTCACATTGTGTTTTAATTAATCTAAAATTGAATGATGTCAGATCACATAAGGGGAAAACTCCCTTAATGCCTACTTTTCTATTCATAAGACTCGAACTCGAGATTTTATTTAAGAGGAATTGAATTTTTTCTACTCGAATAAATAAACAGTTAGTTAGAATACATGTTTGTTTGTATCCATTATAAAAATAGATAATGACTGATATATATATATTGGTTTAAAATATTATATAATATATTTATTAAAAAAATCAATATTTTTTTTTATTTGAAAGCAAATACATACAAACTTGTAGATGCAATCATGCATATATGATGCAAGAACTACTTGAATTGATTATATTTATATCATATTTTAATAATTAAACTGAAACGAGTATTAAAAAATATGTTAAACTGAGTGTTTACAAATTATTTTTAAAAAAAATACATATGTATGTTGGCCATTCATCATAAGCCAATATCAAATGGCATATAATATTAATATAATAAAAAAATATAGATGTGAAGACTATAAATTTACTTGTAGAATAACATTTTAAATTTAAGAT